ACAAGGGTTACTTAGCTCAAACAATCAAAATAACTAACAATAAATTCAAGGGCCTGAGGGCGAAAGGGATATGGGTGATGACTACTAAAAAAATTGAAATGTGCCTAAATCTAATGCAACAAAACAAAATTATATGCTTTGCGATACAAAAAGTAAAATAAAAAAAAGTTGAAAATTATGTTGCCTCCCAATAAGCGCTTCTTTTAAGTCATTAGCTGGACTTTGTGCTGCTATTATTCTGGTTCAACTAGGTCAAGACTCTCTTTAGTGGTGGGGAAATCTTCCACGTAGTTTTTGATACGTTGGCCATTTACTTTGAAGTTTCCTTTTATTGGATGATGTAATTCAACTGTACCGTAGAAAAACACCTGAGAGACCATAAAAGGGCCGAATCATCTAGATTTCAACTTTCCTGGAAATAGTTTAAGCCTGAAATTGTATAAAAGCACTTGATCTCCCACTCTAAAAATTCTTTGCCTGATGTTCTTGTCATGCCACTATTTCATCCTTTTCTTGTAGATGGCTGCATTCTCATATGCTTCTCTTCTGAATTCTTCCAATTCATGTAGTTGCAGTATTCTTGTTTCTCCAGCCTTTTTGAGGTCCATGTTTAACTACTTCAATGCCCAGTATGCTCTATGTTCAAATTTCACTGGTAGGTGGCATGCTTTTCCCAAAACTAGTCGATATGGGGACATCCCAATAGGTGTCTTGTAAGCAGTGTGATATGCCCATAAAGTATCGTCTAATTTCTTTGACCAATCCTGGTAAGATGCATTCATAGTAAGCTCCAGAATTCTTTTTAATTGTCTGTTCGAGATTCCCACCTGTCCACTTGTCTGATGGTGGTAAGGAGTGACAATTCGATATTGTACCCCGTACTTATACAGCACTACCTGGAATAATCTATTGTGGAAGTGAGCTCCACCATCACTTATTATGGCCTTAGGTGATCTATAATGGTTAAAGATGTGTTTCTTTATGAAGTCCACCACCACCCTTGCGTCATTTGTAGGCAATACTTTAGCTTCTACCCATTTAGAGACATAATCCACTGCCACTAGAATGTACCGATTGTTGTAAGATGATGGAAAGGGACCCGTAAAATCAACCCCCTAGACATCAAATATTTCCACCTCCAAAATGTTGTTAAGTGGCATCTCGTGACGCGTTGATATGTTACCCGTTCCTTGACATTTATCACATGATCTATAGAAACTGTGGTAGTCCTTAAATAATGTAGGCCAAAAGAAACCATAGTGAAGCACCTTTGCTGTTGTTTTAGTCGGGCCAAAGTGTCCTCCATAAGCCGAAGCATGAACCCGTGAAAGAATAGGTTTCATCTCATCCTCTGGCACAC